TATTGAGCTTTTTGTATTAATGAAAGGAAATAATAAAGCTCTGTGCAGCTCAAATCCTGTAAAATGGGATAATTTCTAATGCTTGCACTTTAGATGCTGGTCAAATATAAAACTATAGCTTTTGTAAAATATGTCAAAATTAACTGCAACAGCTACAGCAGAAAACATGGCAACATTATTCCAGGTAAATAAGTAAAATGCAGAAGTGAGTAGAAATGGGAAGTTGTGACCAAGCCACATCAAATTGCTGATTCTTTTATGTGACTCATGAAACCAGCAAATGTCTGTTTTTGTTTACTCCTGAATATTGAGGATGCTGCTTAACACAAACAATGCTCGCTAAAGGCTCTCAGGTGTAATCCCAGAGGGAAACTGATTGCTGTAGTAGCTCAGAATAATAATAATAATCAAGTCATCAAAGAGTTGTTGTACCGTAAATCCTCTAATATTAGCCTGTATTTAATTAACGGCCGGGTCTCATATTTTGGCCGGAGTCGGCGGAGGTGAATAATGGCCGGTTTTTTATTGTGGCCGGGTGGAATGTGGTAACAAGCAAGTACGGGGGGCGGTTGTGTCATCCGTCTCACTTTTGATTTGCGAGGGTAACTTTAACCGTGCGGAGAGGAAGAGGAGGCGAAAATGTGATATCAAGTTCAAAGAGAACGTGCTAATTATGCTGCAGAACACTCTGGGGAGCAGTAGCAGAGGTTGCATGAACTAGTCACTAGTCAACTTCACCGCTCTATAGTGACTTCTTATGCCTGGCATCGACTAGTCGCTGTCACGTGATAATGACCGGCAAGATGCAGTCCACGGAAAAGACAGCAGCCTGCTGTCAGAAGGTGACAAGCTCCTGCGCGTCGGGAGGCAACGCGCTGTGCCAGAGCGTCGGCACTGACACCCGCCGTAAAACGGACATTTAGCCAAATTGTGACGTTTACCCTCTTGCAATTTAACCTTCCCCTCACCCCCATCCTAACCTTAACCAGCTTGCGCATGCAAAGCTCTGATTGTTGACGCGCTCCAGACATCTGCGTCCTGAGCACGACCACAGTAACATTATCAAATCAGGTGTCGCCACCTCAAAATAAAATTTAACACGCGATCGTTCATGTCGGCTCATTTCCTTTTATGTTTTCTGTCTTTTGTTCTTTTATTTGTGCCTGATGCGTGGATCAGGGCGCATCACCTGTTTTGTCCTCGGTGACGCACCTAACTGATGCAGCCGGCGAGCACTCCGCTGTTTTTGCGGTCGGTAGATCTTTTAGAGCTGCAGTTCAAAGGTAACTCATGAGGTGAATATATATGAACCCAGGTAGCAGTTTTTCTTTAGGATTGAGAGGAGATGCAGGAAGATAATAAACAGGCAGGACAGAAAAATAGTCAAATAAAAACAAGTTAGTTTTTGTACCTGCTGGTTGCAACAAACAGACACCATTGAAGGTAACCAGAAGTGAGGAACAGAAAATTAAATAATTATTTTAATGTTTAGAGCAGCAGGAACTCCGAGAGGCTGCAGGCGCATCAGTGAGTTTGCGGCCGCTGCGCAGGGGGAGGGGGGACAGGGCTGAAGCAGAAACTACCGTTGTTAAAAGAAATGTGTTTAACTTTGAAAATGTGGGCGCAGTATTAATTGTCAAAATTTCCAGAGAACCATTAGTTCATTTTGCTCAAATAGAAATTAAGGCCTGCCTCTAATTCTGGTCCTCCTTCCAATAAAGGCCAGGAGCTTGATGAGCTTGAGTCAAATACAGGCCCGGGCCTGTATTTGAGGATTTACGGTATATTACAACGGCTATTGGCAGGAAGGATCTCCAGTAGCGGTCAGTGTTGCAGCCAAACTGAAGAAGCCTCTGACTGAAGACACTCTTCCGTTGTCGGACAGTCTTGTGAAGAGAATGCTCAGGGTTGTCCATCATTTTCTTGATTCTCTGGAGAATCCTTCTCTGCATTATCTCCTCCAGCGGTCCCGAAACTGCAGAAACTTTGGCTGAGTCCTTGAAAGGGCTTGGAGTTCCTCCATCTTGTTGGCCAGTGATCTCACATTGCCCATTATGATCGATGGAAGAGATGGTTTGAATTTCCTCTTTCTCTGTCTCCGTTTTGCTCCCGCTCTGCATCCACGCTTCTTGTGTTTTAGCTCACTTGGGATTTGTGGCTTCAGTTGAGGTATTATTTCAGCATTTCCAATGTTAATCAGCTGCTCCTGATTGTAAACCAGCTTGTTGCCATGGTTACGCATCATAACAAATGCTCAAAAAGAGAAAAAAGCTAAAAAAATAGCAGTAAAAATCCTCCAAGCTTCACAGCACCAGAAACAGAAAAGTAAAGTGTCCAAAAAAATGCAGTTTTTCTTGAGAAACTAGAAGAAAAAATGCCCAAGGAAAGGCAAAACTTACATATAGTCAACAGAGCTACTCCAACATGCAGCCGCCCAGAGCAGCGCAGTTCCGGAAAGACATCATCATGACATCATGAGCCCTATTCTGGTACCCTATTCTGGTAACATTCTGTATTTTCAGAATCTGAGCACTCAGGATGTTGAACTGAAAGACCTGCTTACTCACCTGAGCACAGCCGCAGTATTTAATAAACACCCAAAACTGATAACAGGTAAAAGGAAAACAAAAAACAGACTAGACTTTTGTGATAAGGAAAATGCACCATTGTTCACGTGGAAGGAGTGGGACTTATAATTATGCTGCATAACCCTAGTAACCCTTGTCTGCTCCGTTTCATTCATGTTTTGACAGATTTGTTGTTGATCAATTTCATTTTTCCTTCTGAATAAAATAAAAATCACTTAAAAGTTTCCTTGAGTGATGATCTCTTCCTCGTGTCTACCCGAATGCCTTTGGTAAACTGCTGGACTAGCATTCAGATTTAATGTGAGTTTATAGAAAAGCCTTTAAACTTTTAATACGTTTAATTTTACTTCTTTCATCAACAAACATCTCTGGACAAAACACCTGCCCCAGAATCAGCTGATGTGAGACTATAATCAGTTATGTCTGCACTAACCAACACTAGCACTGTGGCTAATATTTATACAACCTTACTAAACTATGAAAACTTTATCTGGAAACTCAAAAAAATAGTACAAGTTTTTATTAAACTAACTTCCACCTGCTGAACATGTGTTTTGTTTAATTTTGTGCGAGCTAACGCAGCTAGCATGACTAAAACAGCTAGTGCGGCTAACACAGCTGAAATACACGATAAAGCTGTCTCTTACTTGGAGCTGCCGGGTCCTGTATGGACGCAGTTTCCAGATGTTTCTTCACTTTTTGTAGAAAATCGTCAGAATTCGTGTAAAAGATGGTTTTGCTGTTAGCCTGTGTTGGGTGGACTCTGGTCTGCATCATTTACATAACTTGAGACGAAACTGCGCTGAGGGGCGGAGTTTACGCGCCTCTTTTTTTTTTTAGGAAACTCCTCCTTCTTTGCGCCTGGCCCAATGGTGATTTTTCACTTTCTGGTTCTAATTTCCATGTTTTTATTCTGTAAAATACTTTATTACAATCAGCCTATGTGACTGCTTTAAAACTGTAAGTAAACTGAAATGCTACGTGATTTTAGTAAAAAGAGTAAATGCAATTTATTACGTCGTCACTAGCCTGGCCTACCAGACTCATCCTCTGTTTAATTCTGCACAGAGAATGATTCATTCATTCATTGTGCAGGCTACGTCATCACACCCCACTGTATGTGGGATACAGCGGGATTCTTGTGATGTACCATTAGTGTGTTTAAAAAAGCATGATACATTTATTTAAATCGTATTTTTTATTCTTGTGACAAAATTCTATAATCATAAGTGTAAATTTAATTATAAGATATTTCCTCAAGTTGTTAAAAGATATGGCTTTATAAAATTAATATTACACCGTTCAAACAAAAAGGCTCTCAAAACAACTGGTATTTGGGGATTTTTGTTTGTAATTGCATAATTAATCCCTTTGGATGATTGTTCGTATGAAAGTATTTGTATAAATTCACAAAGTTTTTTTCCGGAACTGCGCTGCTCTGGGTGGCTGCATGTTGGAGTAGCTCTGTTGACTATATGTAAGTTTTGCCTTTTCTTGGGCATTTTTTCTTCTAGTTTCTCAAGAAAAACTATATTTTTTTACACTTTACTTTTCTGTTTCTGGTGCTGTGAAGCTTGGAGGATTTTTACTGCTATTTTTTAGCTTTCTTCTCTTTTTAAGCATTTGTTATGATGCATAACCATGGCAACAAGCTGGTTTACAATCAGGAGCAGCTGATTAACATTAGAAAGGCTGAAATAATACCTCAACTGAAGCCACAAATCCCAAATGAGCTAAAACACAAGAAGCGTGGGTGCAGAGCGGGAGCAAAACGGAGACAGAGAAAGAGGAAATTCAAACCATCTCTTCCATCGATCATAATGGGCAATGTGAGATCACTGGCCAACAAGATGGAGGAACTCCAAGCCCTTTCAAGGACTCAGCCAGAGTTTCTGCAGTTTCGGGACCGCTGGAGGAGAAAATGCAAAGAAGGATTCTCCAGAGAATCAAGAAAATGATGGACAGCCCTGAGCATTCTCTTCACAAGACTGTCCGACAACGGAAGAGTGTCTTCAGTCAGAGGCTTCTTCAGTTTGGCTGCAACACTGACCGCTACTGGAGATCCTTCCTGCCAACAGCCATTGTAATATACAACAACTCTTTGATGACTTGAGTATTATTATTATTCTGAGCTACTACAGCAATCAGTTTCCATCTGGGATTAATAAAGTATTTTTTTATTGAATTGAAATGAATTGAAATGTATTGAACACTTGCACGTTTTTTATAAATTTCTAGCTGTTTTACTAACAGTGGTAGACACAATCAAAGATGTACATTAGCTGTGAACAGTTCGTCCGGGAGCTAAAAACAGTTCTTTTTTTGGTGAGCTGATCCGATGATTCGACTCACAGAAATGAGCTGAACTTCCCACCTCTCGAAGTGACGCAGCAAGCGCGCGCCCCGTCACTTCCCGCGAGATAGCCGAGAAGACGAGCGAGAAAAGCACAACAAGAAAAGCAAAACAAAACATTAACATTAACAACAACAGTTGCTTGTTAATAAACTACCGTGAGCAGTTTCCAGACATGTCCGGTGCTTCGCCAACGGCCTTAAAGGATGACACGGACTCGAAAAGGTGAGCTCCGACCGCCGGTCACGCGCGTTTACCGTTAATTTTACTAGTAGGAGGAAGAGATGGGAGGCACATCCACGCAAACATTACCGTGTCGTTAACGTTTATAAACCAAACGCAGCAGAGGTGAGGAATCACAGCTCGGACACTCGCGGTGGATTGAATCAGTGACCTCCTCGGGCTCTGGTGAATAGTTCAGCGGGTTCGGCGGTGATCCGGTTTAAACGTTAAGGGGCGGAAGAATGAGGAAGTGGCTGCTTGTAACGCTCCGCCGAAGTCCTCAGAAAAGAATCCAGATTTGTTTTATAAAGCTAAATAAACTGTTAAGTTGTTACTTTTTTTAAAAACGCTCATAAGAACACACTCAAGCATAACCTGGCGGGTGTTTCGGCTACAAACAGCTGATCGTGTGTTTCTCATAAAGATAACACTTATTTATTTGTAGTTCATTTCAGAGTGTAACAAAAAGTAAACACGGTGTACGTTGCTGCCATAAAATCAGGATATCATTCAAAGCACATTTAATAGTAGATGTTTAACCCCGACCGTGGTTTAGTGCGGATCGTAATTCCTGCGTCTATAAACGGGTTTGCATTTTAAAATGTCATCTCTGTAAAGCTGGTGACGAGTGGGGAAATATCACGAGTTTGGAGGCATGAGATCATTCTGCTTCCAGATCCGTGAAAGATAAAAGAACAACTTGTACCACGTTTGCTGATTGAATTCAGTTTCCCCCCACAAGCAGCTCCGTTTATTAACAACACTGCACATAAATGGCAAATGGCCTGTATTTGATATAGCGCCTTCTAGAGTCCTAGAACCCCCCAAGGCGCTTTACAACACAATCAGTCATTCACCCATTCACACACACATTCACACACTGGTGGGGATGAGCTACGATGTAGCCACAGCTGCCCTGGGGCGCACTGACAGAGGCGAGGCTGCCGAGCACTGGCGCCACCGGTCCCTCCGACCACCACCAGCAGGCAACGTGGGTTAAGTGTCTTGCCCAAGGACACAATGACAGCGACAGACTGAGCGGGACTCGAACCAGCAACCTTCCGATTACGGGGCGAGCACTTAACTCCTGTGCCACCATCGCCCCAGAGAGGACATAATTAGCTGCGAAACTACTGGAAAATGTGAAATGAATGAATGACTTGAGCCACATGGTGCAGAGCCGCTCGTTTTTGTGAAAACAACTGATTTCAATATTAATTATCCTTGGCTATTTTTATTATCACATTCTCACAAACTATTAAATCAAAGTCGCAAAATTATTCCTTATTCTTAAAGTGGTTGTTATAAAGTTTTCACACTAATACATGTTAGAAAAAGACCTTTAAGAGCAAGTCACCCCCTACCAGAGTCTTACTCCACTCCCACTTCCTGTTTGAAAAATGCAACAAATGCTGTTGCCTAGCGGGCCGAGAGGGCGGAGCCGCTAACAAACACACACAGGCTCACAACGACATTGTGACATCATATGGTACCAGCTAACGTTCTAGAGTACATCTTAGCCAGTAGCGATGGCAGATTTAAATTCAAATGCAGCGCAAAGTTTTTACCTGACAACGGCACAGCACTGACAGTTTTAGTGCAAAACTATTGACTACACGTGTCTGCGGCACGATTAGACACGCATTTATATAGCTGATCAGAAAAAAAAAGTTGATTTGGGGGTGACTTGCTCTTTAACTGCCAAATATTCACAGCTCAACTTCTCGTTGTTTCTGGTTTTGATTATCTTCTTACAGCAAAACTATGTTCACTCGTTTTTAATCACGGTTTCTACGTTTGAAATAAATCAGTGACATGTATGAAATTCTCTTTCTAGGCTATGAATTCCTGCGAGCATGGAGAACATTCAAATGAAGCGATGCTTGAAAAGGGTAGGTCTCGCTCTCGTATCTCTGCATGTGGTGATGTGTTTGTTGCTGATTCTGGGTCATTTACAGAACACAAGTATGTCCAGGACGTTAAGGAGGAGCAAGAAGATTTTACTGTTTGTGAGTCATTCCAGGGACACGAAGGAGGATCTTCTGGGGTCACAGACGTCGGTAAAAGGTCGTCAGCAGAGATCGGCCCTGCGACACATCACTCAACCAGCAGCAAGAGACCCAGAGTCACTAGCGCGGTACTGTATGTTTTCTACGTTACACTAATGTGCGTCTCATTGTTGCTTATTTAAGATTTGTTTGTTTTTGACAGATGAGGCAGCGTTTGATGGTGGAAAGCAGCAGACACGAGCCTCTTTGCCTCACAACGACAGGAGACAGGGGGCCTGGCTTCCTGGAGAAATCCGGATCCTCCTACAGAAAGCCTCTGTTCGGCATCTCGCACAGGATTTCAGAGAGGAGGAACACACCGAGTGTGGAGCAGCTCGCTAATCACGGCGGCTTCAGTCGACTCGACAGCATCCTTTCACCGAAGCTCCAAAGTCTGGAGCAAAACGGGCCCCTGGAGACCTTCTCCGCCACCACAGACTCCTCAGGCCAGACGTCAGCAGACCCGAGTCTTTATCCACTGATTGAGAAAATGTTTTTTATCCTCAACACACTGAACTCAAGCATGAGTCAGCTGCACAGCAAAGTGGACTTGCTAACCCTGGAAGTCATGCGCATAAAGAAGCACATGAAACCAGCTGAGAATGCGATGGAGTTCCAGCCTCCCCCCGAGTATCTGCTCACAAACGATGAACTGAATCAGCTGATGGAGCACACGTCCAACGCCGGCGAGCTCGGGTGTCAGCTGCTCGTGCATCTCTTCCCGGAGCTTTTCAAATCTAAAGGGTGCTCTCACGACTGCGTTGCGAGCAAGAGGACTCTAGAATCTCTGCATCTGCAGCTGATCCGTAACTACGTGGAGGTCTGCTACCCCTCGGTCAAAAACAGCAGCGTGTGGCAGGAGGAGTGTCTTCTTCAGATTAACGACTTCTTTAATCGCTTCTGGGCGCAGAGGGACATGGAGAGCGCTCGGTTGACTAGGAAGCAAACAGTCCCGGCCGCTGGGATAAAAACGGAGGATCCCCAGACTTACTGTTTCATTAATGAACAGGGTCAGGAGGAGCAGGTGTCCCTGGATAACCAGCCGGCCAGCCAGACGGGATCGGACGCTGCAGTAAACTCACAAACCTCAGAGGAGCTGGACGAGTTCTCCTCCCCAGAAGACTTTGTGATTTTTCTGACACATCGTCTCTTCCCTGAGGTTTTTGAAGAGGGGAAAACGACCGAAGGCTCCGGCGGTTTCTGTAACGTCGGGCAACTGATCCTGGATTCTGACAAGATGGAGATAATACGAAGGTACATGGAGGCCAATTTTCCCGAGGTGCCCGAGGACAGCTGGCTTCCAGTGTGTATTCAGCATATGGAAGATGCTCTGGAGAGTCCGCACAGTAACGGAAACGGGAGCGAGCCCGACAGTATGAACTGTGAGGGCTACGACATGAGCAGCCCACCTGAAGACGGTTCTATCAGCAACGTTCCAGAAGTGAGTGAATACGAAAGACCAAATCGCAAGTCCAAGAAGTCGCTGCTGACACCTGTGGATTTTGAAAATCTGGAGATTCCTCTTCCTGACTTTTCAGTTCCCCAGGAGTACATCTTGTCCAGAATGCAGCTGAAGATCAACTACGAGTGCAGCTTGTCCATCGGTAACTTCGCCTCCCGGCTGCTGGTTCTCATGTTCCCTGAACTTTTTACTCACGAGAACACCAGGAAGCAGTACAACTGCAGCGGTTCTCTTGGGAAAAAGCAGCTCGACCCGGTCCGTGTCAATCTGATCCGTCATTATGTGCAGCTGGTCTACCCTCAAGCCAAGAACGACCGAGTTTGGATGTTAGAATTTGTCGGGAAACTCGACGAGAGGTGCAGGAGACGAGACACAGAGCAGAGGAGGTCCTACCTGCAGCAGCGCAAAGTTTACGGCCAGGAGTCGGCGCAGGAGTTCCTCTGTCAGATTAACCAGTTCAACCCAGACAACACGAGGGAGGATCCTGACGTTCCTCCTGTTCCTCTCGAGAAAAGCAGCAAAGACTTTTGTAAGATTCCTCTCGACAGACTGACGGTTTCCAAGCCCGACTTCCCCGTCCCCCCTGTCTACCTGCTGTCCGACACCGAGGTTCGGGAAATCGTCCAGCAGAGTCTCTCCGTCGGCAACTTTGCTGCCCGGCTGCTGGTGCGCCTCTTCCCAGAGCTCTTCACCTCGGAGAACCTGCGGCTGCAGTACAATCACTCAGGCGCCTGCAATAAGAAGCAGCTGGACCCGGTCCGGCTGAGGCTGATCCGTCACTACGTGGAAGCCGTGTATCCTGTGGATAAGATGGAGGAGGTGTGGCACTATGAATGTGTGCCGAGCATCGACGAACGCTGCCGGCGTCCCAACCGCAAGAAGTGTGACATTCTTAAAAAGGCCAAGAGGTCGAGCACTGTGTCCTAGTTACAGTATCCTGTAGTCCGTCAGCACTTCCCGTCCTGGATTATTGCTCAGAATATAAGCTGAAATCACGCTGTCCCATGTGGGCGGAGCCAAGCTGTTGTCTGAAAGTTCTTAATCGTGTTTCAGCTGCAGATGTTTGTGTAGTTTTATTACTAGAATAAAAAGGTAACTGCTCCTGTTTAAAAGCTGTGGCAGCGTAACACGTTTAGTTGTCATAGCCTTAAAGACGATAACCAGGATAGTTGCTAAAGCGATAGCTCGCACACCTTCTCACGGCGGCGTGGCAGGAACCTGTAGCACTCACTGATGTAGCACTGTGCCACCACTGTTTTAACAACAATGAACTGACAGGCAGGGCGCTGATTGTTTGGATCGGGAGATTATTTGTTTTTTTTTGTTGTGTACAAAACAACAATGGATTTAAAGTAAAGAGCTTATGACAGACGTCCTCACGGGCTCTGATGGGTAACAGCTTTTCCACTGTTTGAGGGACTCTCGGGTCCTTTTTTAATTGTCGTCGTCGTCGTCTTCCTCCACTGGTCCGGGTCGCGGGGGCAGCATCCCAACTAGGGAGCTCCAGACCGTCCTCTCCCCGGCCACCTCCACCAGCTCCTCCGGCAGGACCCCAAGGCGTTCCCGGACCAGATTGGAGATGTAACCTCTCCAACGTGTCCTGGGTCGACCCGGGGGCCTCCTGCCGGCAGGACATGCCCGAAACACCTCCCCAGGGAGGCGTCCAGGAGGCATCCTGACCAGATGCCCAAACCACCTCAACTGACTCCTTTCGATCCGGAGGAGCAGCGGTTCTACTCCGAGTCCCTCCCGAATGTCCGAGCTCCTCACCCTATCTCTAAGGCTGAGCCCGGCCACCCTACGGAGGAAACTCATTTCGGCCGCTTGTATCCGTGATCTCGTTCTTTCGGTCATTACCCAAAGCTCATGACCATAGGTGAGGATTGGGACGTAGATGGACCGGTAAATCGAGAGCCTGGCTTTCTGGCTCAGCTCCCTCTTCCCCACGACAGATCGGCTCAGCGTCCGCATCACTGCAGACGCCGAACCGATCCGCCTGTCGATCTCCCGATCCCTCCTACCCTCACTCGTGAACAAGACCCCGAGATACTTAAACTCCTCCACTTGAGGTAGGACCTCTCCCCCAACCCGGAGTTGGCAAGCCACCCTTTTCCGGTCGAGAACCGTGGTCTCAGATTTTAATTGTCTGATTTATAAAATGTTAGTGCAATATTTTATAGATTGTTCATTTTTAATTAGGAATTGCTTGGATAAAAATCCATTGTTCTGATGTACAGGAGCAGAAAAGCAAATGTTGTCCTTATCTGACTGATCGGACTTGTCTGCACATTAAAACCTTCTTATAGAAGTTTATATTATACAGATAATTTAACATGACGATGATCATGGTAACTCATTTCTAATAAAAACACAATTATACCACGAAATACATCTGGACTGTTTTATTAAATAAAGCTGATCCACTCACTAACAGGTTGGACCTCATTTTGCCTTCAGAACCACAAAAATTCTTGTGGATCCAACAAGGTGTCCTCAGAGGTTCTGGTCCATCCATGAGGAGCCCCCGCTCCACCATATCCCAACGGTTGTTGGACTGGACTGAGGTCTGGTGACTGGAGGTCGTTGCAGTGGTCTTCTGCGGCTGGAGTTCTTCTGCAGACCTTGGTAGGAACCAGAGCTGCTGTTGTCTATCATCTAGAACCAGTCTGACCATTCTCTAGACCCTAGTGAGGATTGTGGCGTCAGACCAGCCTGTGGTGCGATGAGCAAACACGCCTCATTTCTTTCTTTCTTCTGATAATCATTTGAACTTCCGCAGATCATCTAGATGAGTTAATACTGCCGTGTAAGCTGATTAAATACTGCTGGTGAGTTTCTGCACAACGTTCTGAAAAGGGAGGACATCAGATTTCAAGTTCACAACTTTAATCATTTACTTTTATTGGCAGAGTATCACAGCCGAAACCCAAAACAAGCTAGAATGTTTCCCATTTACCCACTTAATGTCTGCAGCTATAAACATCACATCCCTGGAGATCTGGAGCATCGAAGACCATTTAAACTCCAGTCTTCTACTACTTAGTAGGACCAGTCAGTCTGAGTTCATGGTTTGAATACCTCGTCCATAGGAAGTTCAAGACATTTCCACCTCCTTATGGACACTTTGTGTTTGTCTCCATCCTGAGATTCACCTAAAACCTTTCTGAGGACGACTCGCATCAGCGTAACCGTGTTTGCTTCCTTGTTCTCTGACAAGACAAGGTCCAAGGTGTCCCCAACTTTAATCTGGATTAAAGACAAAACATGGGTTAGATACACAAATGTGTACATTTACAGAATAAATCATTTAGCAGTAGACAAACCTCACCGATTTACTTTTCTTGATGAGTCTCTGTCCGTTTAGGTGAAGCTTGTTGCTGTAGAAGGCGTCCTCGACTTTGCTTTGATTTGGAAAAGGAAAATTATTCTCCAATAACAACTTTGATCTTTTCAGGTAAATTTAATCACTCGTTTTTCTCTGACTTACTTGCGTGCGATGTCCAGGCCAGACTTTAAGATCAAATCATAGCGAAAAGACTGCACATATTTCTCCATATCCTTATAGTCCTTGGGTAAATTTGGGTCATCATCCTCATAATCACTGTCCTCTGAGTCAGCTTCATCCTCATCCTCTTCCTCCTCCTCCTCCTGCGTAGCCCTGGAAGAGCCTTTCTTCTTGCTTTTAAACCTCAGATGATGAACCGACCACGCCTTGACAGCATCTCTGCCTCTGAGAGAAGGTCTGTGAGCGCCAAACGCTGGGAAAGCGGAGCAGCCCCACAGTTGGCGGGTGTGAATGGTTCGTGGGCACCATTCGGTCAGCCTGAGTCCATATCCAGCAGCCAGCAGGTGACGAGGGTTCAGCCGGCCCAGCTGCCTCATGGCAAGTACCTGCACCACCAGGCTCTGCATGTGGGCACTCCAACCAGTCACTAAAAACGCGATAAAAAAACAAACTCAGAGCTACACCCTGGGCAACTTAACACGTAAATTCTTATTTAATGACTTGCTTATTTTTTTTCCAAACTACTAATTTCTCAGTATGCCTTCATGCTTTCGGTATTAAACATTAACTAATATTCTACTGATTTCTTTTTTAGTTTTTGTTTCACTAAATGTTTAAGCATCTAAAATATGTCCATGCAAGACTTCATTACTTTAAAGCATTTTTAACATTACATATTTTCAAACATGTTTTAGTCGTTTGTCAGCTATCCCCTTAGTTGTTTTTGTGCTTCAAGCACATATAAATACTTTTTCTATTTATATTACTCGTGTAACTGATTAATTTTGTAACTGTATATTTTGCTGCCTCTTGGTGAGGACTCCCTTAATTCGGTTTTCCATAAAGAATAAAAATAAATAAATAAAATACTGATATCCCTTCAAAATAAGACTTTCTTTAACTCCTTAAAGCTAAAAACGTTCACCTATTTTTAAATTCACGTTTTTCAATTTATAGCTAAAATGTAATAATGTGTTTTAATCTATCAAAATTTTGAGTTTGGATTTTATACATTTAAGTTGGCTAACCTAGCATAGCCTTCAAAATAAAAGTCGAAAATTACTTCATCCTTGGTTTTTGTTGCTGGTTTAAAAAAAATTAAGAAATAATTTAAACAGGTGGATAAAACTAATTAAAACGATACGAGCAAAGAATGATCAAAAACTAAAACGTAGAAGTTGTTTTGATGTCACCGGAAGTTGTACCCTTGTCCATCAAAACAACAAACCTGTGCAATTGACTTATCGTACTTTGAAATTAGCAGCATCTTGAGTTGATGTTCCTCTCACACTTAAGCACTTGTAAACAACTGAGTGTTAATTTAGTCAGGTTACAGTCTGAAACAGAAACTGATTTAATCGAAGCTGAAACAAGAACAGCTAACTAGCTTTAGCCAGTTAGCACGTGGATGCTTATTCGGTTGACGTACAGTGCACTGCGGGTTAGCGGTGTTGCAACTTAAAATATGATTAGTTTGTCTGAGCTGTAAGGTTTAAAGATTTGTGATATTTTATACACTCACCGATGGAATAACCTCTCATAGCTCTGCACTTCGTCGACTCTTCTGATTTGGGTTTTGTTTCGTAGAAGTTTGAATATACCGCCACCTATCGGACATCCAGTGAACTGCAACTAGAGTACTGAACGAAATTGAACGAAAATGCACCTGACACCAAGTAAGATCTGTTTCACCCGGTTATCACTGAATCAAATTTTCCCCCAAATCACACTAAATAATCTGAATACAATTAATAAATCACGTGTTTTACTTTTTTACTGTTCTCTGAGACACTCAAAGGTTCAACATCAGCAACGGTTTTAAACACACAAGAGGAGCCTCAGATATTTATTACAATTTTAATTTTTCCAGCATAAATTCAGACACATAATGTTTTAAAGGTAAATGAGTCAATGATACAGCTCATTTTATACCAATGACGTTTTAAATGTTCTTTTACCAGAAGTTTATGTCTGAGTATTTAAATAATTACATCAATATTCAGACAATTCTGTTGCATCATGTGCACAATACAAGATGTGTTACATTGCATACATGTTTCTGTTGGATTATTAAAAAAGTTTTATGAAGTTTGTGTGTAAATGTAAGTGCATTAACACATTTGCATCAACTGCCTGTAAAATCCATTTATAGGAGTCGTGAGTCTTCAAAGCAAATGCAGAATAAACATTAATGTTCAGAGTTTCTTCAGGCAGCGTTTGAGCTGCTGTAATTCCTGCACATTAAGCACACATGACTGTGAAATATCACTATTAAACACTCTTTTAACACACCACATAAGTAACGTAGTTTACTTTTATGCTGGTGCTTTTATGGTTCTCCACAGGTCTCTGCAGAAAAAAATCATGCAAATTCAAGGATCTTTTAAATAATTTTATAATTTTTATAGATTTTTAATTCATCCGTTTGTAGCACAGTTGTTGGTACCTTTAGTGGCAGTAGGCAGCAAAAAAAAGTGAATTTAAGACAATATGTTCTGTTTATTATTTATTTTTGTAATGCACATGAGACTTGACAGTCTTAGTGTTACAATATTTTGTCTTTTATTCCTGTGTGGATCCAGGGAAATAACCATTTTCATGAGTTTGTTTTTAATTGCATTAAAATATTTACACATAAACACCAGAGATTTGAAGGTTAAACTGTTGCAGAAACATGTTTTTTTACCTGGAGCTGCCATGTAGCACCAACAGTCAAACCTGCACAAATCTTGTGTTCAGGAAGAAGAAAAAAATAGCTGCAATTTTAGTTTGATTTTAAAGAATCGTGGCCTTTTTTTGTTTCAACCTGATGCATTTTGTTCTTCAGTCTTCATTCTTTCTCACAAAAGGAACTGAAAGGAAGCTCAAGTCTGTCGTTTGTGGCTTTAAAGGAGTTATGTAGGAAAACAAAAAGAAAACAACTTGCTGATTAACAAAAAACAGACATTAAATTTGAATTACAGCAATATAAGTAATGGAGATGTTTAAAAGTCACAAAACGGCTTATTAGTCATTTTAATTTGTCTTTTTATACTTTATGCTTCCATTTTAATCAGTGTCTCTGTTTGATCTGCATTCATGTTCCTCGTTTTGCTTTTAGAGGATTTTTTGTTGTTATTTATTGCTGCAGAAAATCCTAGAATTCACCTCGACTTTATTGCGTGGCAGAAATATTGAGAAGGAAGGTGAGATATTAAGTTGCTCCCCCTTCTGTAAAGATCTAATGAGGTAACAGCAGCTCCTGTTTTCATGCAGTGCTCACATGAGCTCTCCAAAGCAGTGGCGGTGGTGTAACAGTCTTTGTCTCCGTGGTTTGGAAGATGATGTAGGTTTTGTTGGTTTGGTGATCTCTCTGCATCCATTAACCGCTGTTATTGCTTCGACGATCTTCACTTCCAACATTCAGGTAGTTGTTTTTGATACCACGACTCCTACGGACTTTTTTGCGCTCTGAGTGTTTTTTTAAAGAGCAAGTCAACCCCTGCCAGATTCTTACTCAACTCCCTCCATGTTTGAAAAATGCAACAAATGCTGTTGCCTTGCAGACTGAGAGGGCGGAGCCGCAAACCAATACACACACACACAGGCTCACAACGACATTGTGACATCATAAGGACCAGTTTACATCATAGCATACCTCTTAGCCAATAGCGGTGGCAGATTTAAATTCAAATACAGTGCAGAGTTTTTACCTGACGACGGCACAACACTGCCAGTTTTAGGCAGAAAATTTAAATTTTAACTAAGATGCACTGAAGTACCAAATTATTGACTACACGTGTCTGCAGCACAATTAGACACGCATTTATGTAGTTTATCAGCAAAAAAAAAGTTGATTTGGGGGTGACTTGCTCTTTAATGCTACAGCTGTTTCAGCAGTGACTGTTTCAATCATAAAGAGGTCTCCACACAAGAGCTGTTTCTGTGGAAGGATCTGTGGCTGTGACAGTTCTCGCTGCAGTGGACGATGAGAACGGGGTAGCAGAGGGCATCCTCGTAGTGCGGAGGCTCCTCCTCGTCTGTGGCGAGGCGCTCTGACAGGCAGCGGGTGTTCTCGCTGGGACTCTCCTGGTCATCCAGGCTGCCGCTCCTCCAGAAGCAGCTCCTCTGGGAGCCGTAGTGCCGTGCCAAGGAGAACCGGCTCCCACTGAAGGGGATGCGGGAGCTGGCGCCTGTGCAGATGCTGAGGGCACTTCTGGAGAAGACAGAGGAGCAGCTGATGGCTCTGTGGCAACGCTCACAGTTCTGACGAATCCCACTGAAGTTAGACGGACGCTGGGCTAAGTCCATCAAGCCGGCTTCGGAGTAACTGGGAACCAACTGCTGGTTGGAGCGAATGTGCCACTCCAGCTCAGTGCTGTCGACTGTGTTCACACGAGGAATCCGACGCCAATAAGGCCGGTCATCACATGGAGTCACAGGGAGGTAATCATGCCCAAAAAGCTTCTCCACACGGTAGTGAACGTATGCAGTGCGATACTCGGTGAAGACTCTGAGAGGCCAGGAGAACGTGAGGAACGATGCCAACCAGAAAACGTAGTGAGACAGATACCAGGGATGATGTTCCGGGTCAGCCAGCACCATGACGTACTCCTTCAGGTCGACGTTTTTCAGGTGCATTCCCTCTCTGGCCTCCATGTAGTCATCCAGCCCCTCGTTGTCCGTGAAAAACCTGGCTCTCTGTGTCAGGTATGAGTTCTCGGACTCCACATTGGCAAAGCTGAAGCACTTGGTGAAACGCATCTTTGTAAGCGGAGACTTCTCCAGACCCAGGAGCTGTTTGGAAACATCTTTGACTCCACAGTGACCGTAATCAAATTCGGCCTCAGCCACGTGAGTGTTGACCCGCTCGTGGTAAACCTGTGTGCTGGTGTAAGCGTCCCCATTGCGATAGCGCGTGACCTGACGAGTTCGGCGAACATAGTGGTAGCTGATGGCCTTCCACCAGATGCAAGGCTTAGCTTGCTGCATCCTCTGAATGCGCTCGCAGATGCCCTCCACGTCCACTTTGTGCTGCAACTCGTTCTTCACGTGACAGTGCCAGCACTCCACCAGGTACACCAGGTAGAGCATGCCCAGCAGGGCCAAAGGGATGTAGATGTAGCCGTCAGAACAGGGGCTGTCGTGGTACATCATGGATTTCCCTTTGAAGGCGCTGTCGAAGGTGAGGCGCGTCACCTTGGTGACGGTACACCAGACCATCGCTCCCATGCAGCCGTACATGAGGACGGACAGGAGAAGACATTTCCAGAAACTCTCCCGACAAAACGACTTGCTCAGGGATTGTTTCAGCGGTCTTTGCTGTTGCAAAAAAATAAAAAGAGGAAGTGGTTGAGAAATGTTAGAAAACATTCTTTGGCATCACATTTAAAGGCATTAATAAAAGCAAGTGGTCTAACACGATTTCCTGCAAAACAACGTTTAAAGGGGTGTGAAGCAAGCACGGAAAAATGACACCCTGTGGTTACGTTAGGGTACGTCAGTCCATTTCACTCTTTCGCTCCCGTTGCATGACTCGTGGCTGTGGCGAGTTACGGGTCAGCACCAGAGGGCTGTAGATGACGAGCCAAGACGATTCAGAAACACGAAGTTGATAAGTAGATAAATACATTTATTTCACTGTAATATGAGCTGTTGGTAATTGAAAAAGTAGCTTGATGTATTTTTTGATTTGTTTCTAATTTACTGTTAGCATTGTTAGCTCAACGTTAGCCTCTAGCCTGCTTCACCCAAGTTTAGAGTAAAAAAATAACGTTGTGGCTTCTTAGCGGTACAAGAAATAACTTCTGGGTCACTCCTTTTTACTGGCTTAGGATCTTCGGACAACTCTGGAGCTTTTTGTCAGCCGGTGTAAGCCAACAAATGCGGGAACGCTCAGCATTTATAGACCCAGCTATCCCAGATTGTACACAAAGACATCTTTGGCCATTTAGAAAGGAGAAAAACTCCCATCTGTGCCTGTTATGCTCTTCTTTTTTGTAAATATTGGTCTGATTGTGGTAAATTATCACTATTTGGCAGTTTAAGTTCATTTCTTGTGTTTTGAGGTTCTGCTTTTTGCACGTTATTCTGCTGATTTGTGCACGCTAAAGGAATTTTTTTCATTTTTGTGCTACACCTTGCATTCCCAGAATCACTACAAGTTATTTTTATTGTATTTTATAGAGAAGCGTTTTAATTGTCATAAAGTAAATGTGCTGTTTAACAGCAGAACCAGTAAGGAATGAAAGAAGGCTCCCCGTCTGCATCAAACCCACTAAGGCAGGATTACACATCGTGGCATGTCTCTAATAGCTGTTAGTCAAGTGTGACTGCTGAGCTCCAGGCCCTGCTGCAGCAGATGAAAGGTGACAGGCTGTCCGGATAATCACGGGTCTTCTGGGGTCAGCATCATTAGATCATTTAGATAAACCATAAAACAGACTAGTGCGTAAACATCTTTGAAAAACACCGCGAGCTCGTGCAGTCTGCACGCGCAGCGCGCCTTTGGACACATTTAAGCACTGCGACAACAGAAACGGTCTCTACCTCCTCCCTGCTGTCCTCCTCGAACACGGTGGTGGTCGTGCTGCTTTCAGTCGCCGGGGCCGCCGACGCTGGAGGAGACATGGTGCCGGGCTGCTATTGACAACAATGATGGGGCGTGGAGATGGAGGAAGAAGGAGAGAGGATGAGGAGGAGGAGGTTTCTCCACCTTTTTCTGCCTCTGCAGCGTCTCTCATCCCAGACGAGCCGCCGCGTTACATCTATCATTTCATTCTGACGGGACTCGATGAAACCCGGGAAAATTGGACCATTCTGGTGGAGGGGAAGCGGGAAGTCTTCAGAAAGTCTCCCCCCTGCTGGAGCGTTTCCCCAGCCCTCAGTGCCGCAGTGAAAGGATGGAGAACCGAACCCCGCTGCGGCGCTCCGGGTCCGCGGTGCTGATGGAGCAGGTGAGCCGTTGGTGCGTAAAGCTGACACTCTCCCACTGGGGCTTGAGATAATAAACAAGACGCATAATAATAATAATAATAATAATAATAATAAAAATAATAATAATACTGATGATGATGATGATGATGATAATAATAATAATAATAATGATGGTGATAATAATAATGATAATAATGATGATGATGATAATAATAATGATGATGATGATGATGATGATAATAATAATGATAATAATAATAATAATATTAATAATAATAATAATGATGATGATGACGATGACACTAATAATGATGATAATAATAATAATATTAATGATAATAATAATAATGACGATGATGATAATGATGATGATGATGATAATAATAATAATAATAATGATGATGATGATGACAATAATAATGATGACGATGATGATGATGATGATGATGATAATAATAATAATAATAATATTGATGAGTCATAAATAAGTCATAAGCGGCCGAAATGAGTTTCCTCCGTAGGGTGGCCGGGCTCAGCCTTAGAGATAGGGTGAGGAGCTCGGACATTCGGGAGGGACTCGGAGTAGAACCGCTGCTCCTCCGGATCGAAAGGAGCCAGTTGAGGTGGTTTGGGCATCTGGTCAGGATGCCTCCTGGACGCCTCCCCGGGGAGGTGTTTCGGGCATGTCCTGCCGGCAGAAGGCCCCCGGGTCGACCCAGGACACGTTGGAGAGGTTACATCTCCAATCTGGTCCGGGAACGCCTTGGGGTCCTGCCGGAGGAGCTGGTGGACAAGGCCGGGGAGAGGACGGCCTGGAGCTCCCTAATTGGGATGCTGCCCCCGCGACCCGGACCCGGATAAGCGGAGGAAGACGAAGACAAACGAAGACATAAATAACATTTTCCAAGTGGCTACAGGTAAGATAAGCTTATGAACAATTTCCCCTCATTCCAAAGTTTTTTCCTGCAGTTCTTTAGCTTTCCGAAGAAATGCCTTTTATTTATTAATTCATTGATCTCTAACAGTCATCATTAGTTTTAGTTTCAATTTCTGCAAGTCTCATATGAAAGTTGGGTTTAATGTTTCTGGGAATACCTTGGGAACATTCCCTAAAGATTACATAATTTAACAGTTCAAATATGTTTTGGGAACATTCCCCAAATGTAATTTTTGTCATGACTTTGTAACGCTGAGGGAACATTGAAAAGGCTTGAGTTAACATAACAGGACTGTAATCTCTCAAAAGCATTTCCTAAATGTTCCCTTTATTTTCCCTGAAGACTGCAATTCCGGACAATCCACGAAAGATTCCTCGAAGATTACAAAGTGTAGCCTTTTGAGTACACTTCCGGAGTGTTCCCTGTTTGTCCTCCATTTGTAAAGCCATGATTTGTTTTAGTCCACAAACAACATTCCCTGAATGTCACAAGGTTATTTTCAGACCATTCAGGGAACATTCCTGAAATCCATATTGTGAAAGTTTGTGCTAAAGGTCAGGAAAAGTTTTCTTCAGGTAAATGTTCCCTAAAATTTCTCTAAATGCTGTCATTAATTTATAGCCCTCATTTGCTGAATTTTATGGTTTAAACGGTAAAGCAGGGAAGCTCGGGAACATGCCCTGATGGTCAGACTGGGATTCAGGGAAGTTTCACTGAAATGAAAAACGACAGCAGTTTTCATGGTGGTGTGGTTGGTACCTCCTGGTTTTCTCTTTGAGGAGTTTCACACCAAGCCAGAACTCACCGGAGGGAATAAGTTTTGCTCTCTGGGAATACTTTGGAGTTCTGTAGGAGAAACTTGTTTGGTTTTAAAGGGATGTGTCAGTTTCCTTCTTCCCAAATAGGAAAACAGGATCAACAAAGCAGAAATCTTCCAGGAAATGAAAATGAAGGTTTATTCAAGGTTTATGAAGTGCATCCAATCTGAACCTGATTACAAAAGTTTAACAAAAACATTAACGAGGGACTTTCCGACAAATATCAAAATCACACGACATTCCCGTTTAAACTGGTATTTTATAAAAAATCTTATAAAAACTTCTTTTGTGTCTCTGAGCTCTGAGGAAACTTCAGCAGATTACGACGTTTACACGAGTCAGAAGATGTGATTTAACTGAACTTCTAGTGAATCTTTGTTGTTATGGTGACAGTAAATGAATATTTGTGGAGGTCAGATTCTACCAAAAAGACACAGAAAACACAATAAATAATGTTTCTGAATAACAAATAAAATCTTTCTATTGATTTGATGCTCACAATCGGACTTTGTTTGTGTCGTCATCTCATTAAACAACAAATTTGAATATTGTGTCTGAAACTTTTGATCATTGGGTTAGTTTTGATGGCAGAAGCACTCTTCCTTAACAACCGGACTTCCTGGATACTTGTGACTCCTTCTCCTTGGAGGTGTTCCTTACTCCTTGTCCCAGGGCCACCTTCTCTGACGAGATCCCTTCAACCAAAAGGATTGATCTTTTTTATTCCCCCCACAAACACAAAGCTGAGATGTTTAGAGAGTTTGGAGAGAACTTACCGAGTACATATTGGAGAGGTTGTTGAAGAGCACCTGTCCTGCGCTCACCTTGTTCCTCACCCCGCGGATCGTCCCGTTCTTGCTGCAGATGTTGATCCTCTTGTTGGTGAACAGCATCTCTCTCTTGGCACTGGCGTATAAAAGCAGGTCATCGGGTTCGCCGCCGTTCTCGTCCGCAGCAGCCTGCAGCCCGTTCAGGTGACGGTTGGCCTCACTGGCGGGCGGCGAGCTGACCTGCTCTGTCTCTGAGCTGCCGGTACCGTCAGAGTCCACCGACTCTGAAACTGAGCGGCACCAAGTCCTTTCATCCTTGAACACCTCAGCCAGGACCCGGCCGCTGTTGGCGGACGCAACCCTAAACCTGACGGTTTTCCCAGCCTTTTCCCTCTCCCGTTTCAGTTCTGGTCCGTCCATTGAAACTCAAGAAGGACTCGCATGCTTCGGTTTCCATTCAGAGAAAACAGGAGCTTTCTCAGCCCAACATGACGCATTAACCAAACCAAAATATGCTCAACAATGTGTTGAAACAGGCTGAAAATACCCCGAGTATGACTACCACACTCCCTTACGTTCAATAATAGATGAGCTCCTGCCATGGCAACAGCTAAAAGAGGCAAACAGTAAATTGATATTACCCTGATCAATAATTGATCAAGAGTAGCACGTCTTGTGTCTGATCTTTTATGGTCTGATGAGTCAGAAAACCAAAGGGCTCGCCTCCCCAAAAACCCACCAGAAAAGATGTCGTACCTCTGAAATAAAACTGACATGGTTACAAGTAAGTCCTGAATTTTATTGTTTTGCAACTTAGATTTTATGATTATTAATGTTTTATTTTTATTTACTCATTTAAAACCTGCAGTAATTTGAAAGGATTTCACCTCTTTTGAAGGAATCTACAGAAAGTTTTGTTGAGTTTTGTATCGTTTAGCTTTACGAACGTTCTCAGTCATCCAGGCCGTGGTCATCCAAAAGGGTTCAAATGAAGGCTACTGGAATTCTTTGGTTTCTTGAAGGCGTTTCACTTCTCATCCGAGGAGTTTGGACAGTTCTGACTGGAATATGGGAGTGAGGCGGAAAACATCCAACCAGTTTGATTTTCACCTCAGCGTCTCGTGAGGCACAAAACTCAGTGAAAATTAAGTGCACACAGCTCATGAATAAAAGGGAGCAAAAACAAAAGTGTTGCGTTTATATTTTTGTTCAGTGTGACCTAACTCCTTCTAACAGATACTAAATAATTTACAAAATGGCCTTACACACAAACCAAGCATATATCTTTTCTTTGCAAATGATATCACAATCAAACTTGTCATTGTCCTTCTTCATTATTTACTATCAAATCATAGGATGTTATCATTTTTCTTTATAAAGTCTCCTATATGACTATATGATTAATGATATTTAGTTTTACAGCTCAGTCGACACAGATCAAATGAAGAAATGATCAAATGAGCCTCTTTCAACAATAGAAAAAGCCTTTTGCAGATTCACATATCTTATTTTTCTGGATGCAGACTCATCAGTGGGGTCATATTAACAATAATATAATATAACATTATAATATATTATGCTACTCATTGATGAGCCTCCGTTTGAGAAGCTTATCTTAGCAGAAGCAGCTGTATCAGGGAGAGGTTCACTTCTAACTACAGCACTGTTATGAAGATTTGTTCTGCCCTAATGGGAAATTACACAATGGAATTATTGTAAATACAACAACTAATAGTATGATTAAAGAAGATGGGTTTAAAAAGTGGATAATTATTGCAACAGACGTAACAAAGACATGCGGTTTCTCTGTTCTCCTTTAGGTGGCGCTGCAGGCGTTTTAGCAAGCGACAGAAAAGCAACCAACGAAGAAGAAACTGCGGCATCCACACGTGTGTAAATAACAGCAACATGGGGAAACGGAGGCAGAAAAAGCAACTTTTCACCAACTTGTCCAAAAAACAGAAGAAACACTTGAAAGAATTTGGCGAGGATCATCCGTTTCACGACGTGTGAGAAACGCAGAAGAACGCGGCTTTGTTAAAACGATTAATCAGCTAAATGCACGCAAGCTAGCAAGCTAAAAGTAGTTGTAGCTAGTTTATTAACACTGATTTTTATAGATAAGCCTACATCATGTGTAAAAGTATTGTAATGTTAATTTGCAGAAAGATTCACGACATTTCTGTTTCTGTTTACGGTTTTATGCAGATTGTTTAGAAAAACATTTAACCCAAAAATTACAGTTCTTGTATTTTATTTACAGAGTGAATGAAAGATCAGAGAGGACTAAAATAGTTGAACTGGTGAGTGAAGCTGTACATTTCATTAATAACTTATAATACGTTAGCTATTGTTATAAATGACCACGGTTACCATCTGATTTCTATCTCCATCTTCTGGTAAAAGATTGAGAAACATCACAACAACAGTTTCTTCTACTTGTTGTTGTCATTTTTCCATCTTGTCCTGAAGTAGAAAACATTTCCCTCTGGTTTGAGCTGCAAACCAAATGTCTTTGTGACTTTTAAACCTGTTTGTTTCTCATCTCTGTTGCAGCCGTCCAGTCCAGAACAGTCTGATGCTGAGGCTGATCTCATGGAAGAAGAAGAAGATGAAGAACTTGAGCAAAAAACAGCCTATCAGAAGCTTCTTTCAACTCTTACAAAATCATCTGGTGACGCTCAGAGTGAGGACGGAGAAAGCTCTGATGATGAAGAAGCCGAGGAGGAGGAGCTACTTGATGAAGGTGAGATCCTTGTTTTAAAAGCACTACATGTGACGATTTGACTTACAGCTTAAGTTTATTTTTAATGTAGAGGACAGTGATGGAGTTGCAGATGAGGAGGAATGTGGAGAAGAGGAACCTGGAGAGGATGAGGTGAAGAAGGAGGAAGCAGGAGAAGAGTTTGTAGACAAGGAGCATGAATCTGAGTTTTGTCTGGAGACAAACTTCACTGAAAAAGGAGGAAACGAAACAGAAAACACAGAAAAACATGTAGTGTGCAAAAAAGAAGGTAAGGAAAAAGGGAAGGGTTTATCTGTTTTTTAAGCCTTCATGTTGATTTACTTTGCAGATTTTTAAAGGGGCTTTACGGAGTTTTAAATTTTTATGCTCGCAATTGCCCCCTCAGGCCAAAAGCGTAACGGCAGCTTCAATAGTAGGCTCGTGCATGAGGCGCACATGCTGTACGTGCACACTCCTTAACGAAAATAACAGCTGAGACAGTCCCGTGTGTGTGTGTGTGTGTGTGTGTGTGTGTGTGTGTGTGTGTGTGTGTGTGTGTGTGTGTGTGTGTGTGTGTGTGGCCCGGAGGACAGAGGACAGGAGAACGCACAGCTAATTAATCTGGTTCTGTAGCTTTCTCTTCAGCACAGCCGACAAAGGTTTATGATGGGTCAGTCCTCCTGCATGCTCAGATCATTCCCTTCCCTTGCTTGAAAAATTGTTTCAAAATGAAAGTTGAACCCACATCTTTTTTATCTGTGAATTCAATGCCGTTCGGCGAGTCTCAATTAAAAATTTGGGCATCTTACTGTAAAAAAATATATCATTAATGTAAAAAATAAACTATGTTCACATCCAGAATCAAACACGGGTCTTCCACACGAGAGTCCGCCGTCTTACTAGGTGAGCTAAAGCACCAGTGACGTCTTTCGTATCTGTAACATTTATATCCTTGATGACAACGTTCAAAGAACGGTACGGAGTGAAAATGGCTATTTTGTTGCTAATTTGCAGGAAATATCTAGAAGAAAGTTCTACAGAAAGTAGCTAAGGGTCCTCAGAAATGTAGCTAGCTTTGTCACTAGGCGTTAGGAACAGCGACAAAGACTAAAGCTACGGATAGCAAATGCTACGGGCGATGCCTGAGCGTGAACGCGCATGAAGCAGCCTGCTCGACCCGAGCATCTCTCTTTTTCTGTGATTTTACAGAAAAACAGGCAATCACAGTAAAAATGCCAGGGCTCATTGTACAGGACCAGGGCATTGCAGGAGAACGTATGAAGAAGACATTTATTATTTCTATACATGTTTTGGCTGTCAGACTTCCATAATGTCCCTTTAATTAAAACTACTTTGTTGAAAGTTTGTTTAAATATGTTTTCTTCTGTATTTGCAGACATGTTTTTACAGCATTTGGACACAGAACTTACTGAAGAGGATGTAAATAATATCACGTCTGGCTCCAAATCTAAAACTCAGATCTCGGTACAAAGCACACAATCCTGAAGAAACAAAGCAAGTTTTTTAAGATTCAATTTTAAATAAATTATGCCTCTTTGCTCCCTTTCTTTTAGTGGCCCAAACTGGGAAATCTTCTCTGCACCAAACCTCTTGACCGGTTTGGCTCCATTGGACCACAAAAGGACACAAACCCGCAGATTTTCCACAAACTTTTAGAGAGCAGCTGGAAAGATCTAAACCAGTCTGTGAATCCTAAAGAAGAACCAGAACAGATCAGCTCTCTGCAGTTAGAGCTACTGACCCTCATGGGTTCATATAAGGACATGTTTTATCCTGAGATGTGTCCCATTAATCAGGGTCCAGAGGTTCGAAGAGCTTACTGCCTCCATGTGCTCAACCACGTCCTCAAGTCCAACTCCAGAGTCCTGGCGCACAACTCTCAGATTAGGGAGCAGAAAACTGCGGCCAAAGCTGGAGCCGAGCCGTACGAAGAACCCAGAGATCAGGGGCTGACCCGGCCAAAGGTAAACACCTAAAGGTCACATTTCTGTTTTCCTCAGCTGCAGAGATGTTTTCCTTAACCAACATTACCTAGGTTTCCTAGATCAGCTGGCGTTTCACCGACGCTATCACTTCCGCGTCTGTGAAACCATGCTCCCTATTGAATTATCGTATGATCACATTCTCTTTTTGTGGGTAAAACTCAAGAAAAAAAACTTTTTACTTGTTTTTTTTAGTTTTATTACAAAAAGTGCATTTTATGATGAAATTGATGAATAAAAACAAGAATTTCTTGATATTTCGCATAGAAAAATACCGCGAATCAGTGAAAAATAACGCAAATCTGCGAATTCCCCCTGAAAAATGCTCCAAAGAAAAAATCCGCGAAGCAGCGAATCCGCGATGAACGAACCGCGAAGTAGCGAGGGATTACTGTAGATTGTAAAATTGAATCTGCGTTGCAAGAATAGAGCTTGTACGTGTGGAAAATGCTGCAGAAGAAAACTTTCTGAATCATCCTAAAAAGATCAGAACTGCAGTTACACAGCTGGTTCATAAAAACACAAATGTTCATGTGGCGTTTCTGAGGATTGTGTTCTCTGTGTCAGGTTCTGATTCTGATTCCGTTCCGAGGCGGGGCCTTGCAAGTGGTTCACACGCTCATCAGCCTCTTAGAGACGAAAAGTAAGAAGATCGTTGTCAGCAACAAGAAGAAGTTCAAGGAGGAGTTTGGAGAAGACCCTAATGACAAACCAGCTAATCTGCTAAGACCAGACGATTACAACGCCATCTTCTCAGGAAACGTGGACGACCACTTCAGGATTGGTATGATTTTGAAGGATCACATTCACACCATTTCTCTGAGTTTATCTCTAAGACTGCGCCGGCCTCCTCAGGTGTGTCCATCGTGAGGAGCAGCATCCGTCTCTACGCTCCCTTCTACTCATCAGATATCATCATCGCGTCTCCGCTCGGCCTTCGCACTGTGCTGGGAGCAGACGGAGAATATAAGAGAGACTTTGACTTTCTGTCGTCCATCGAGCTCCTGATCCTGGATCAGGCTGATGTCTTCCTCATGCAGAACTGGGAACATGTCTTGGTGAGAACATCATGCATCTGAGGTGATGTGGCGCCACCTGCTGCCAGAGGAGTAACTTGACAGCTTAAAAGAAACTTTTCTTCATCAAATCAACTCCTCCAGCGTTTTACATCCTTTTACCTGTAAACAATAGTAGTTGATGTATTGTGGTGGATCATAAACACTTTAGCACAACTTCTCCGTGTTGTCATCCCCACCAGCATGTGATGAAGCACATGAACCTGCAGCCGCTGGACTCCCATGGTGTGGACTTCTCCAGGGTCAGGATGTGGAACCTGAACAACTGGGCCAAACATTACAGGCAGACGCTGGTGTTCAGCTCCATCCAGGACCCGCAGATCAACAACATCCTGACTAAACACTGTGCCAACTACAGGGGACAGGTCAGTCTTTGTGGAGACTTTATTAAACCTCGATTCTAAGGAGGATTCTGGTTGTCTGAGGGAATCCTGTGAGAGGAGGAGGGATTCCTGTGGGAATAGATTAGTAATTCCAAACTTGGTGTCCCAGAAATCAAGACGTAACCTGAGATTTCCAACAATTTACAGTTCAGTCACCAACCCTTCCCAGACTTCCACATTTCTTTTTGGGCATGTTTATAATTCCAATTCCCAAAAAGTGAGGCTGTGTGATTTGCATGAGACGTTCAGGATGGTTTAGTCTCCAGTAGGGCTGAACGATTAATTGCATATGCAATTAAATTGCGATGTGACAAAAGGAGATTTTCTTATCGCAAAGGCTGCGATTCGACTGGCAGCGAGTGGTTAGCACAATGCTAATATACATTGAAAAACCCATAGGGATGCTAATGCTAATATCGCCGAATAGATTCTTGCAAATAACGAATTAGAAACGTGCCAAATTATTACATTTGGAGTCTAATAAAAAGTTAAAACTGCCATTAATCAAAGAAGTACAGACAGATATTTTTGTAAAGCTAGAAAACTGTACTTCAACTCCACTGAGTTTTGGCTAGCAGCTGTGAACGTAACTGAACTACGGAAGCTCTGCATGGACAACACGTCAAAACTTCTTTCCTGCAAATAAGTTTTCACAGTTGATGCTAGTACCTATTCTCCTTCAAGGGATGCTCCTGGCTGCAGCATTGCACCTTCAAATACAAGATGTTGTCTTTACTTGTGAGTGTTCATGTATGTGTAGACAAAAAAACTTGTTGATATGTGTAGATACATAAACTTGTTTATATTCAGTACAAGTTACATAGATCTTGCTTCTGTTAGTTGAAAAATGAGAAAAGCCCCTTGAGAAAATAATTGTGAATTAAATCGCAATTAGATTATTTTCCAAAATCGTTCAGCCCTAGCCTCCACACCGCTGCCCAGCTTGCTGCAGCTCTGTGGGCTTCACTTGATTTTCAGACTTGTAGGTGAGGACTTGAATGCACCACACATGAACCTGCAGGTGTTTTTGTTTTCGTGCTCCAGGTTGTGACTAAAAACGTGCCACATGAGGGCTCCATCTGCCAGGTTGTGGTCCAGCTGCCTCACGTGTTTCAGATGTTTTCCTCGGAGAGTTTTGTTGATCATGACGCTCGGTAAGGTCTCCAAGAATATTGATCTGCTTTATTTTAAGGCTCGTCGTGTATTTTTACTCTCTTTTATACTTGAGAGCCTTAGTGAGTATCTTCACATCCATGCTGCTCTGACATTTTCCACTTGTAGGTTTCAGTTCTTCATAGATAAAGTTCTGCCTCAGTACAAGGACTCGGTCATGTCCCACACTCTCATCTACATCCCGTCCTACTTCGACTACGTTCGGTTGAGGAACCACATGAAGAAAGAGGAGATGAACTTCACCTCCATCTGCGAATATTCCAGCAAATCGGAAGTGTGTCGGGCCAGGCATTTGTTCCGGAAAGGAGAGAAACAGTTTCTGCTTTTCACTGAACGCTTCCACTTCTACAAGAGGTCTGTTTTTTTCTAACATTTAATCCAATTCTGTCACAAAGTTACTGTTTCTTTGTAAAGTTGGATCTAAAACCCATCAGGGTGACCTGAGTAAGAAGAAAATGCAGCTAAAATTTCCAGTTTGGAATTTTTTCTGAAATTGATTGAAATTTTATATATTTATGGACAATATGACTTTTTTCTTTCGTAATATGCATGAATCTAAAGATGTTTTTATTATTATATTTAACAAACAAATGTAATGAACTGTAAGAAACCAAGGCTTAAAACTAGTGGAGATGAATCATTTTATTGTTAATACGCATATTTTAATTGTCAGACTAATTTAAGCTGTTTTCATGGAAAACAAGGAAATGCACCCACATGTTTGAGCAGTCGTGTAAAACCAGCACTGTGCATGATGTGTAGGTTTGTGTGGCTGCAAAAACAACACACAACAAGTTGATCCTAAAATCCTCAAGAATTTGCTATAATAAGTGTTACCTGCCCCTAGTTGGATTAAAAAAACAAACTAAAATGGCTTTTCCCATAGGAAAGAAACTGATTAACTAAGAAGCTGTGGACCTTAAACTCTGTAATTGATTTATTTCATTCAGGTACACCATCAAGGGGATCCAGAATCTGGTATTTTATGGATTACCCAGCATCCCCCATTTCTACAGCGAGGTGTGCAACATGCTAGCTGCAGAGGGTCAGAGGGAGGAGGCCAGCAGGACCTGCACCTCCCTCTACTCCCGATATGACGCCCACAAACTGGCTGCCATCGTCGGGGCGCAGCGCGCCGGACAAATGCTGCACTCTGACAAGAAGGTTCACCTTTTTGTCACAGCTGAAGAGGAAAAGAGCCACTGACGGACGAGCAGTGGGATGTGATAGCCAAGCTGGTTTTCTAATAAAATGTGCAACTTTCAGTTAGATTTGTTTAATGTGCCGAAGCTGAAATATAAACTTGTCAGCTGTAGGAACCATAAAATATCACTTTTTAGATGTTTTGTGGCACAAATGTCTCCTTACCTGTTAGGGCAGTAGAGGGCTGGGCAATATATCGAAAATGTATCATTATTGAAATTTCTGACTTATCGAGAATTTTGCCCGTGTCAATACCCATCCATCCATTTTCATCCGCTTATCCGGAGTCGGGTCACGGGGGCAGTAGCCTAAGTGGAGAGGCCCAGACTTCCCTCTCCCCAGCCACTTGGGCCAGCTCCTCCGGGGGAATCCCAAGGCGTTCCCTGGCCAGGTCCTCCGGGGGAATCCCAAGACGTTCCCTGGCCAGGTGAGAGACATATAGTCCCTCCACCATGTCCTGGGTCTACCATTAGGTCTCCTCCTAGTTGGACGTGCCTGGAAAACCTCACCAGGGAGGCGTCCAGGAGGCATCCTGACCAGATGCCTGAGCCACCTCAACTGGCTCCTCTCGATGTGGAGGAGCAGCGGGTCTACTCCGAGCCCCTCCCGGATGACTGAGCTTCTCACCCTATCTCTAAGGGAGAGCCCAGCCACTCATCGGAGAAAAGTCATTTCGGCCGCTTGTATCCGCGATCTCATTCTTTCGGTCACTACCCAAAGCTCATGACCATAGGTGAGGGTAGGAACGTAAATTGACCGGTTAATCGAGAGCTTCGCCTTCTGACTCAGCTCTCTTCACCACGACAGACCGGTACAACGCCCGCATCACTGCAGATGCAGCACCATTCCGCCTATCGATCTCACGCTCCAGTTTTCCCTCACTCGTGAACAAGACCCTGAGATACTTAAACTCCTCCACTTGGGGCAATGACCTCATCCCTGACCCGGAGAAGCATTCTACCCTTTTCCGAATCAAGACCATGGTCTCAGATTTAGAGGAGCTGATTCTCATCCCAGCTGCTTCACACTCAGCTGCAAACCGCTCCAGCAAAAGCTTAAGATCACGTTCTGATGAAGCCAACAGGACCACATCATCTGCAAAAAGCAGAGACCTGACCCTCAGGCCACCAAAAGAGATGCCCTCCACACCTTGGCTGCACCTGGAAATCCTGTCCATAAAGGTTATGAACAGAATCGTGACAAAGGGCAGCCTTGGCGGTGTCCAACTATCACTGGGAACGAGCCCGACTTACTGCCGGCAATGCGGACCAAGCTCTGACACCGCTCATACAGGGACCTAACACCCCTATCACAGGGCCTGGTACCCCATACTCCCGGAGTACCCCCCACAGGTCCCCCCGAGGGACGCGGTCAAACACCTTCTCCAAATCCACAAAACACATGTAGACTGGTTGGGCAAATTCCCACGCACCCCCCAGGATCCCCCTAAGGGTATAGAGCTGGTCCAGTGTTCCACGGCCAGGACGAAAACCACATTGCTCCTCCAGAATCTGAGGTTCAACAATCCGACGGACCCTCCTCTCCAGAACCCCTGAATAGACCTTACCAGGAAGGCTCAGGAGTGTGATCCCCCTGTAGCTGGAACACACCCTGCAGTCCCCCTTTTTAAATAAGGGGACCACCACCCCGGTCTGCCAGTCCAGTGGGACCCCCATGTCAATACATTTGATAATAAAAAAATGAAAAGATGTGTGTAGGTTGGCAAGATTCATGTCCCTTTAAGAAGCGGTACCACCTCGAGTCACGTAAAAATGGCCTTGATCGAGTTGAGCAGCGCCAGGCCTGGAAAACAGACGGACACAGCAGGGGAGGTGGCTGAAAGTCTGCGTTTACGTCAGACAGATTTTCCTACATGTGTAGCTCACGGGTGACGACGGATGAAGATATCCCATTAGCGTTCATACTTGTTTAATTATTTATTTTAATTCTGGTGCCTGTTAGCACCCGAAACACATCCTCACATGCTTGTGGATATCATATATTGTATATGAAGACATGACTGTAATAATAATTAAAGGTTATCAGCTGTTGGTTTTAGTGTGCTCATAGGAAACGTGACAAAATAACACAAACCACATTTCTCTTTATGGCCTATAGTTGGGCTTTTTCGAGATGAGCCAGTTCTGCGCAGATTCGATCACCAGTGATCGGCGCGAAGTGCATGCCGGTTAGATTTGTGTCCGACTTGACGCCGACTTGCTCTGACGTCATGCATACGTAGGCAACGATATCCTCGTGAGATCAAGGCGGCCGCAGATTTTGGAGCATTTCTCATTCTACCACCGGATGTTCTGATCAGAATGTGAACCAATCAGATCTTAGATCAGGTGAGAGACAGGCGTTTCCTGTTATCCCCTAGGTTTTGCAGCCGGTGGAGAGCAACTGCAGCGCCTTGCTCCAAAATCTGTGGCTGCCTTGATCTCATGAGGTTGTTGTTGCCTACGTATGCATGACGTCAGAGCAAGTCGGCGTCAAGTCGGACACAAATCTAACCGGCATGCACTGCGCGCCGATTTAATCAGCGCAGAACTGGCTCATCTCGAGCGCGGCCAACGTGACTCAACGTAATACATGTGACAGCTCCATCTAGTGGACAACTTTTGTTTCTGCGCATACCTGTAGTTATCGACCGTTTACCGTTATCGAGGTGAAATCCTCAATATAGTGATATTGATTTTAGATCCTATCACCCAGCCCTAGGTCAGAGATTTGTACATCACCATCAGCCCTGAATGAATAAACCAGCTGTAAAGAGTAATTAAGTTATTTAGCTTTTGCACCTGTCTAGGGTAAGTGTCACTACTAGTAGCATGAGGGGACTTTTGGACCCTACAGAGGTTGCACATCAGTCTGCGTCATTGCCAGAAGGTGTGTTGTGTCCCGGCAAAGTCTCAAGAGCCAGTAGAAGATTCCAGGAGACTGTTACTCCAGGACAGCTGGACAGCAGGGCCTGGTGCCAACTAGTGGGCCGTATGCTCACTGTCTGGCTCTACTGGCAGTGGCTACAGAACCCCAGAATTGGAAGATTCAGCATTGGCTGCATAAGTACCAGCCAGTATCAACTTTCTGGGTCTGAGGACACCAAAGCGCTTTACACTAAAGTCTGTCATTCATGAATTTACACCACAGCTGCCCTAGGGCAGGCAAGGCTGTCATACACTGGTGCCACCAGTTCCTCTGACCCCTGAGGGAGGTTAAAGTGTCTTGACATGGGCGGTCATATATAATGAAATGTTTGTTTACTACATGGACACTACATGGCTTTTCCATGACAACTAATGAGTAAGCTCATCATAGCAGGACAGACCCCAGAACTCAAAACGTAATGCGAGTGGATCTGGACCCAACGTAAAACCACAATGAAAAACGGCCAGACACGACCCCATATTTTGGAATAAGCTGCTGTTTTGAATCCAAAACAAATCACGTGATCAACATGATTCGTGTGGCAAGGTGGATAAACGAGGGCCTGGGTGGGATTTGATCCCCAGACTCCCGGGTGAGAGTCATACGCTCTAACCAGTCAGCCAAAGGGACATCCCCTTGGCCAAGTAGCCAGGGCGCATGATCAATCGGGACATTGTGACAGGACACTCACACTGTCACATTCGTGTAGATTCGATGATAGAAGGTGGTGGTTGGGAGGGTAGATGATTTTCTAAGTTTCACGGATGAACCAGTTTTACTAATAACTACAGGATGAAATATTTCAGAGGATTTTAAATCTCACAGTAAATTTTCCTGCCTTTACGAAGGACATTCCAATAAATTTATCAAGCCTCCAACAGGCTGTAGAATAGACCACACAGCTAGAGTGGACCATCTGCTTCACTAAAACATCCTCCAAACATGCAAAACAAACAATTTATAAGAAAATAGGTTTTTTTGTCACTTATCCCACAATGCAATGTAAGATACAGAAAATAAACATTGACGTCACGAAATATTGTCCCATTGGAAGCCAATGCAGGACATGATGGTATTACTCTCATGTTTAGCCTAGTGTTGAGCTAGTATTTCAAAAATAAGATAAAAATGTTTCTCAGTGAACTTGCCCTCGTGTTATGGCCCAGGGCCATTTGGGTTTTTCTCCGAGTTTTAGAGTGTGTGAGAGAGGAGATGCAGCGCCTGTCTCCTATCTCACTAGATTGCCTCCCAGTTAGACTCTCCCAGCTCTGCCAGCAACATAAAAATCAGCCAGCCTTCAGTTCAGGGAGCCGCCAACCCGTGAGGTTCTCTCTGGTCTGGTGGCGCCTCAGCAGCATTTGGTTTTGTTAACCCTCTCAGGCTCAAAATAAGTTTTGATAAAAGGACAAACAACCAAGTCCTTCAGGGGAACTTCTGAGTTAAAAAAATCCTCATGAAATACGTATGTGGAGTACCCATGTGGCAGTGTGAGCGTCCTGTCACAATGTCCCGATTGATCATGCGCCCTGGCTACTTGGCCAAGGGGATGTCCCTTTGGCTGACTGGTTAGAGCGCGTGACTCTCACCCGGGAGTCTGGGGATCAAATCCCGCCCGGGCCCTCGTTTCGCCACCTTGCCACATTTGGCATTGTTGGCAGGATCCATGTAGTACTGTCAAGTAGGTCCATGGATGTGAAGTTTGTGGCACCCTGCGTGGGAGCACGGGGACGTGCTTGTGGAAAGAGGGGGGAAGATGTGGCAGTGTGAGCGTCCTGTCACAATGTCCCGATTGATCATGCTCCCTGGCTACTTGGCCAAGGGGATGTCTCTTTGGCTGACTGGTTAGAGCGTATGACTCTCACCCTGGAGTCTGGGGATCGAATCCCGCCCGGGCCCTCGTTTCTCCACCTTGCCATACCCAGGTAGGTAGGTTTTAACGTTGCAAACGTCTGCCTCCAGAGGGTTAAACTACGTGAAATGTAACAACTTTGGCGGGTGCTTTGAAAAACTGTGTTTTACTGCAACCATTTTCAGGGTAAAGGAAACTTTACACTTTGCTTTAAATTAGTCACTCGGTTAAAGAAGTTATGTGATGGTCTTACGAAGTTTTGGTATTGATTTGGCTAATGAGAGATTTTAGTCGTTTCTAGTTATGAGTTGCTGCTGATGTGTCTTTTTCTGATTGTCTGTGTTTTGTGTTATATTTATGTAAATAAATGTTGTTTTGTTAATTTTAACACGAGAACTTGTGTCCTCAATTGTCACCCCAGGTCCCCTAGACAGCCTGGATCTTCATTGTGCAGTCAAGAGAGGCACTGTACAAAAACTAAACGTTCTTCTGCTTATTAAAAATTGTTCAGTTTATCATCCTGATCATACTGACCAACACAAATGGAAACGTCACGATCAACCTATAAATTCCCCTAAACTCATATTTACAGATCAGAAACCAAAACACAAATGGACCAACAGAAAAGACAACTGGCCCAGAGTGAGCCTATTAAATACCAACACCTCTTTGCTAAATCTAATGCAGGAAAATTATAAGTAACTCCTACTGGTGTTGCACCAGTGTTTGTGGTTAGCAATTTTAAGACTAGTGAAACCAGAAATTGTTTGCACAACTTATTTGTTTTAGGACCAAGGTGTTCTGAATCGCTATACCAATTACAAAACAAAAACCAAATAAATAATTATTAACTCCCAAGTATTTATGTAACAGGAACTCTGCCTGGCCACATATATGTGGTATTTTCTCAGCTGAAGCTGAAAGACAGCACATGGTCTGAGAATCCTCTGAGGATGGACACCAAGCAGCAGAAGTTGAACCTAAAGAGGGAAGTGGGGCTGATGGGAGCGGTATCACTGCTTGCCGGGACAATGATGGGAGCTGGGATCTTCATGTCACCACAGACGGTGATCTCTGCAATTGGAAGCTGTGGAGGCAGCCTGGTGGTTTGGGCCAGCTGTGCCTTACAGATAATAATGGTGTCTTTGTGCTTTGCTGAGTTGGGCACCGTCATTCCAGAATCAGGAGGGGAGTACATCTATGTCCTCAGGACTTCAGGTCCAGTTGTTGCCTTCATATTGGCCTTCAGCTCAATAATGTTTCTGAGACCATTCAATAACGCTGCTTGTGCTTTGGGTTTTGGTCAGTATGCTGTAGCTCTTTTCCATTCAGACTGCCACCCTTCAGCTCTGGAGGTAAAATGCGCAGCCGCAGCGGCAATTATAGTTCTGACATATGTAAACTGCCTGAGCGTTCGTGCTTCGATGTCACTGCAGGTGGTTTTTTTGGTGGGCAAAGTTGTGGCCTTGATGCTCATCATAATGGGTGGGCTGGTGATGCTTTTTAGAGGTCACACTGGAAGTTTTGAAGATGCTTTTGAAAACACAAACGTGGACATCAGTTCAATCAGCGTTGCTCTGTACCAGGGACTGTGGGCATATACCGACTGGAACGCTTTAAACAATGTGACCGAGGAGCTGAAATCTCCTGAGGTAAGCAGGTTTAGAGATCAGTTGACTCCAGCAGTTCCCTGCACAAAGCTGTTATGGAGCTGGAGAGCTTCATCAGCAGCGGACGGCTGCAGGTGCATGAAGGAACTTTTATCACAGGTCCTTTCTCCCTAAAGTTGCTGGAATCTACGACTTCCACTGCTCTCAACAGAACCAGTAAACAATCTCTTTTGCATCCTTTCATCCCATGTGCTTTTGTGATTTTCACAGTTGCTGTTGTGATTCTACTTGCACCAGTTCTTTATCGCATTAATGCAACTTTCCATTCATTTTCCTACTCTCTGTTAAATACTCACACAGTATTTTATGTTTTTAGTTTCCTAAACTGTGTGTATAGTCTTACTATTTTGAATCTTTTCAGTATTGCTGCATTGTTTTCTTGCTCGCTGTACAACTTTTTACTCTTTATTCTGTATGTTTTGCTTTCCTTTGTTTACCTGTTATCAGCACTGTTTTTCTTTTTTTTGCTTGCTGCTGTGCCACCAAAAATGTTCCCACGAAGGGACAATAAAGTGATTTTGCAGAATTTCTTGCAGAAAAACAATAGATAACAAACATCTGCCAATGACGCTGATTCCACAAAGATACCAGCCTTTTGTGGTTAGTTTATTTTAGTAAATGTAAAACCAGAAATAGTTAAATTATGAACAAATTACCTGTTGGCAGAGTTTTAGAACCAAGGTGTTCTGAATCTCAATGACAAAAAAACCAAAACAAATAAAAACCAACATACTTATTAACTCCCAAGTGCTGATGTAAAATGGTAAATGGCCTGTATTTGATATAGCGCCTTCTAGAGTCCTGGAACCCCCCAAGGCGCTTTACAACACAATCAGTCATTCACCCATTCACACACCCATTCACACACTGATGGGGATGAGCTACGATGTAGCCACAGCTGCCCTGGGGCGCACTGACAGAGGCGAGGCTGCCGAGCACTGGCGCCACCGGTCCCTCCGACCACCACCAGCAGGCAATGTGGGTTAAGTGTCTTGTCCAAGGACACAACGACAGCGACAGACTGAGCGGGTCTCGAACCTGCGACCTTCCGATTGCGAGGCGAGCTCTTAACTCCTGTGCCACCGTCGCCCCAAACATATGTGGTGTTTTCTCCTCTGCTGAAGCCAACAGACAGCAGATGGTCTGAGAATCTTCTGATGATGGACACCAAGCAGCAAAAGCTCAAACAGTGGAGGGACGCTGGGCTGATGGGAGCAGTATCGCTGGTTGCAGGGACAATGATTGAGTCACCACAGACGATGATGTCTACAGTTGGTAGCACTGGTGCCAGCCTGGTGGTTTGGGCCAGCTGTGGCTTACTGGTTATAAGGGCGTCTTCCTGTTATGCTGAGCTGGGCACCTTTATTACAGATTCAGGAGGGGAGTACATCTACATCCTCAGGACTTCAGGTCCAGTTATTGCCATTGATCACGCACCCTGGCTACTTGGCCATAGGGGATGTCCCTTTGGCTGACTGGTTAGCGAGCGTGACCCTCACACGGGAGCCCGGGCCCTCACCCCCCACCCTGCCACATCAATACGTTGTAGCTCCTTTTTTCAGAATGCCCCCCCTCCAGTGATAGGCGTTAAAATTGTGGCTGCCACTGAAATTATTGCTTTGACTGCTATACACTGCCAAAGTGCCACTAGCCTAGGTGTGAAACTGGACTCTGACCTTTCACTGTCTTCACAAGTCAACGCTACCGTCAAGTCCTGCTTTTTCCAACTCCGCCGCATCAATCGTCTTAAGTCAATCCTCAAACGCCCGGATCTTGAGTCAGTCATTCATGCTTTAATTGCTTCACGTCTGGATTACGCAAATTCTGTCCTGATTGGGATTAATGCTTCAGCCCTAAGCAAACTGCAGAAGGTTCAAAATGCCGCGGCCAGATTTTTAACCAACACCGACAGACGCATGCACATCACACCCATCCTCGCAGATTTACACTGGCTCCCAGTCAAATTTAGGATTAACTTCAAGGACTTGTTATATGTTTACAAGGCTTTGTACCGCCCATCCCCATCCTATCTGACGGACCTGCTGACCCCATATGTTCCCACCCGTGCCCTTCGGTCAGCAGATCATCTGCTGCTTGTTGTTCCGAAGGTTCGGTACAAATCACGAGGGGAGCGTGCCTTCTCTTGTGCAGCCCCAAAACTCTGGAACTCTCTGCCCCTCCGTGTGCGTCTGGCTCCCTCTGTTAGCAGTTTCAAGTCGGCCCTGAAAACTCACTTCTTTAGCATTGCCTTCCCTCCGTGACACTTTTCATGAAAATCTAGCACCGGATTTGAGTTTTTCATTCCATTTTTATGATTTAGTTGCTCACTTGTAGCACCTCGCACCATCTGGTATTTTATTTCGCTTTATTTGTGCCATTTCAAATGTTTTTATCATTCGTCGCATTATTTTATTTTATAGTGCTGTTAACTGTTCTCCTATTTTATTGTTTTTAGTAGGAATTTTTATCTCCGACTATTTATGCTTTGTTCTTATGTATTTTGCCTGTTCTTATTGTGTTTCTTGGTCAAGCATTTGGCTTTTTTATGTACAGCACTTTGGTTAGCTGCCATGCTATTTTGAAATGGTGCTTTATAAATAAATATGGTATGGTAAAGTGTTTACTTGTCAATGTCAGTTCAGGTGTTTTTAACGGTGGGCAAAGTTGTGGCGTTATTTATCAAAATTGGAGGGGTAGTGATGCTTTTTAGAGGCCACACTGGAGGCTTTAAAGACACGGTTGAAAACACAAATGTGGGCTTCAATTCTATAGGCATCGGCCCCTACCATGGACTGTGGCCATATGACCACTGCACACTCTAAACTTTGTGACAGAGGAGCAAAAACATCCTAAGGTAAGAAGGTTTAGAGATCAGTAGTCACACAATCACTATAAACATGGGATTGCCCCCTTTTCACCTGCACCTACTCAGCACCATTCAGAAGCTTTTCCAACAGTAACAGGTCCGTGGTTGCCACTCCTTTTTTAGTACAAGCTTCGGTGTGGTTTCAAGCTTAAGAAGTTGGGCTGAAATGCAACATCAGAAAACTGTTGGTCACTGATTGGCTAGAAGGTGGAGTCGATGGTTGCTAAAGAGTTTTGCGCTTGGCTCCCTGCAGCCTTTTCCGATTCTTTATATTTGAGAGTCTGATAAAAACAACAGACTCAGCATTGGTACCATGTCCTCCATTGTTCATGATTGTGGTGTATTTTTGTGTTGTGAGTGGTGAAATACAGCCCTGAGGCTACGTGTACACTTCATGCAAAAGTGGCCAAAGTCCGACTTCAGCTTGTAGAACCTCCTTTAGCAGCAACGAGTAACTGAATTCAGTGCAACCTCATCATTCTCATCCTTATCTTACTCTTCTGGAAGAAGTCTGGTTCACCTTTCTCTAAAGCATGAGGTCCATCCATCCATTTTCCTTCACTTATCCAGAGTCAGGTTGTGGGGGCAGCTGCCTGAAACCTAATCCCTCCATCGTGTCCTGGGTCTTCCCTTGGGTCTCCTCCCGGGTCGACATGCCGGAATAATCCCACCACCAGGTAGGTGTTCAGGAGGCATTCTAACCAGATGCCCGAGCCACCTCAACTGGCTCCTCTTGATGTGGAAGAGCAGCGGATCTACTCCGAGCCCCTCCCGGATGACCAAGCTTCTCACCCTATCTCTAAAGAAGAGCCCAGACACCTTGCGGAGAGAACTTGTTTCGGCCGCTTGTAAAAGTAATCTCATTCTTTTGGTCACTAACCAAAGCTCGTGACCATCAGCGAGGGCAGGAAAGTAGATCGAGAGGTAAATCAAGAGCTTTGCCTTCCGCCTCAGTGATATCTCTTCTGGACATTGAATGGACTATTCTTATCTTTGTCAGCTGTTCTGTTGTAGATCTACTTGGGATTATGGTTCTATTTTATGACCCACTTTGGTCCAAGTTTCAGCTGTCAGAGTGATGGACTTATGTGAGTCTAGAAAATTAGTCTACACAGAGGAGTTCATGGCTAACTCAGCCACTGCAAAGAGCCCAAAAAAAACCTGTTCTCTACCACTGTTCTGGCAGCTGGCATCAGTGGTTTGTGTTGCTATGCTGTCGTTTGTTTTCTCCAAATGTTTTCTTCTTCATTATGGGCAAAATTTTCCTCTTTGTATTCTTCTGTTCAAATGACATCGATCCAAAGGTTTTTGATTAGTTCAGATGAACCTTTATCAACCTAAGATATGGTGCCAGCAACCCTTCCAAGCAAGCCAAGCTTGTTCATTTTTAATTGTTCTGTCATGATCTTTACCCATTGACCTGATAAATGAGGCTGGTGGATTGATACAGTTTTTTTGGCCATTGCTTTGAACCCAGCCAGCATGCATAGGTGGGCCCCTATGGCTGGAACACCACCCCTAACTCTTTCATAAGTACATATCAGAAACCAAAATGTGGACCAACTCAAAAGATATTGAGACCCTCATCTACCAACAACTCCTTCACCACATTTCATGCGGTGCCTCCAACAGCTGCTTCTCAAAGACGTCAGTCAGTCTTTTGTGGTTAAATATTTCAGTAATTGTATAACCAGAAATTGTTAAATTATGAACAACGGTTTTGTTGGCTGAGTTTTAGAACCAAGGTGTTCTGAATCTCAATAACAAAAAAATTCTGATAATAAATAAAAACCAAATACATAATTATTAACTCCAAAGTGCTGATGTAATAGTGACATTGAGCATGCATACGTGGTGTTTTCTCCACTGCTGAAGCCGGTACACAGAAGCCTAGTGAACTAAACCAAATTCTTACTTTGCAAAGTTTGTAAATTAAATAATATAATAATTTAGTCTGGCTTGCCAGGCTAGGCAGGCAGCAGATGGTGCTAATGGGAGCAGTATCACTGATTGCAGGGACGATGATAGGATCTGGGATCTTCATGTCTCCACAGACAGTGATCTCTGCTGTTTGCGGCTCTGGAGCCAGCCTGGATGTTTGGGTCAGCTGTGGCTTATTGACAATAAAGGTGTATTTCTGTTATGCTGAGTTGGGTACTGTTATCACCGCATCAGGAGCAGAGTACATCTACGTCCTCAGGGCTTCAGGTCCAGTTGTTGCCTATATGTTGGCCTTCAGTACAACATTATTTGTGAATCCAATCAGTAATGCTGCTGTTGCTCTAAGTTTTGGTCAGTACAGCACATCTCCTTTCTATTCAGAGTGCACCCTCCAGCTCTGGTGGTAAAATGCGTCACTGCGGTGGCAATTATCGTCTTGACCTGTGCAAACTGCCTGAGCGTTCGCTTTTCATTGTCAGTGCAGGTGTTTTTCATGATGGTCAAAATTGTGGCCCTGACAGTCATAATAGGTGGGGTGGTGATGCCTTTTAGCAGCCACACTGAAAGCTTTAAAAATGCTTTTGGGAATACAAATGTGGGCATCAATCCAGCTGGTATCGCTCTTTACCAGGGACGTTGGGCATATAGCAGCTGGAGCACACTAAACTAAGTGACGGAAGAGCTAAAACGTCCTGAGGTACGACGATTTGGAGATCAGTTGAAAGTTAGTGAACAAGTCTTATGTCTACATTCCTAACGCTATGAAATAGATCATTGCTGTTTACATTTAAGATAAGAGTGTTCTGCACACTGTAGGAATTTTATATTGCACTGCATAGCTGAGATCTACTCACTATATTGTGTATTTGATGTGTGTTGTCAATATTTAATTTTACAGAAAGATGCTGCAGATTGTTAACACTCTTTCAATGGTCCCTCTCTAAAACAATAAGGACTGATGAGCTGGGTTTTTTTTTTTACTTAAAGATGTAATATGTAAGAACATAAAGATAATTTTACAGTGAGAAAATCCCAAAAGAGTCTGATGTTTCAGTCATTTTGGAAGGAAGGTTTTACTGAAACATATTTCGTATCCAGCTGGCTGCTGGATTGTCAGTTTTTCTCCTTTCTAAACAAAGGAAGAAGGGACGTAACTACTGTTTACCCTAAGTGAGTGTGGCGTTGCCATATCTGTGAGCTAATACTGCAGCGCCGACAATTGTAATTTGATGACAGCTGGCAAAAAACTCCAGAGTTGTTTAACGTGATTTCAGTAACCAAATTTCATGACAAGATGTAATTTTTACTTCTTATAGTGCACCTTTAAACCTCTAAATTAATTGTAGACTGGTGAGTTAGTGCTGTCACCTTGTACAAGTGGAAATCTGTCTATCAGGAAATCAAGTCTACAATTTCTCAAGTGGGCCCACTTTGTTGATGAGGTAAAGTGTGAAAAGCTGAGCTTATCCAGATGATTGTGATTGTGTGCCACAGTCTGGTGCAGTGCAGTGGACTTGTGATCACTGGTGGAGCAGTTTGGGTGATTTGCTCACTGATGTGGGTCGAGTTGAGAGGGTAGGATGGTTCAAGTTATTGTTTTCATTTTTTTTTTGTTAAACACATTTGTTTATTTCACAATAAAGTGGTTTCACATCACATTATTGAAAAA